GTCTGTGACATATTTATCTCCTTTGAGCATGTGGGATGTCTGCAGGGTTAGTGCTCAGTGAAAGACTGTGATAGAGACATACATACATTGATTGTATATCTCAGATAGGGGTGGACCAGTATTACTTTATTTTTATTTTTTATTCTAAACTGTTTTAATTAGTCTTATTTGTTTTGATTATTTTAATTTCTTCTATGTAAAGCACTTTGAATTGCCATTGTGTATGAAATGTGCTATATAAATAAACTTGCCTTGCCTTGCCTTGCCATTGATTGCTGTTTGAACTTTATACAGACATAGACGTTATGACAGAAGAGGGAGCAGAGCCCAATGAATGAGTCATCACTAAATAGCCTATCATCTTTGAAGATGGCATGATATAAAAATGATACAAAAATGTTTTTGCTTTTAGTCTATGTCTTGTCAATTAGGCAAAATATTGTTGCAAGATCTCAAGTGCACTCAAAACTACAACGCATGAGATCTTTGAAAATAAAGTGGTTGCTCGGGAGTGTGTGTTCAGCGACAGAAGCCATGTGTGTCACCAGCTCTGTTCTCATCACTGAGTCATTCTTTCCACCCCTGGTCTCATTTCCATTTCCATCATTCTTCTCTTGGGAGAAGAATGAGGCCTAGTGAATTCTCTTTTGTCCTGCTCATAAATCTAGAGTCAGCTAATTGGGTTAGTGCATCTCGAATCCATCAGCGTACTAACAAAAGCCACCACTGGAGAGAGATGCTATAGTGTACAGAAACAACACTGGGTCTAATTTGATGATAAAACCAGTTGGGGGAGGGAACAGGAGGCCTTGAACAGGAAATACAACTGGAAAGAGTGTGCATGTAGATGGGTAAAAAAAGCGCTCCCTTTGGTCTGGGGTGTTTGTGAGGAGAATAATAAGCTGGCCTGATTTTCATCAGCCTCACAAATTAATGTCTCATCCAGTATTGTTCTGTCTCCAGGTAGTCTTTATCATCTGCATTGTAAATAGTGTGAAACAGCAAATAGACACAGAGTGGGTTGGTTGTTAGCAGCTTTAGCCCGGTGTCGGAAATCACTGCAGTGTGAGGTCTGCATTGTGGGATTTATCTCTTCGATTAGGATCTGTCCCCACATAGCTTGTGACTCTGCTGCAGCCTTTAACAGCTCCTAAGAGAAACAGCTGCGCTCACCGGCGACCAGGCGAGGTGAAACACATTACCTTTTAATGACTGAGCAGGGGAGAGGCAGGGAGATGAGGCATGAAGGAGACATACACCGTACTCTCCTTAAGCATGTTAGCACCGTTCCCAGGCGAGCTCTCACTGACTTTAAGTGATTCAGAGAAATCACTAAACCAGTAGACACCATCTGTCATACTCTATCTATCTGTCCGTCCATCCATCTGCAATATACCACTACTGAATTGGTTATTGTAATGATTCCACTGGAGGCGAGATTGACAAACCCAAGTGCAGTATTTCTTTAACAAAAAAGTGTACAAAATAAACAAAGACTTGACTAAGCATAACTTGACATGACATAAACTAACACTCACCAAACAGTGGTTACACAAACAATACTATACCAGAAACAATGGGAAAATGAGGGCTCTTTATACACACAAGACGAATAACCAAACAAGAAACAACTGAACACAATAAAACAATGAACCGATAAAAACGTGACACATAAGACAAGGGAAGGACAAGACATGATCACATGAGGGCAAGGAAAACACATGACACAGCAACCATGACTGTGAGATATTACAAAATAAAAGACATGAAACTATAAAAGTGAGCCAAAACCCAAACCAACGTGACATAACCCACCTCAAAAAGATGCCTCCAGACACCCAGGGCTCCCACCCAAAACACAAACAAAGAGTCCAGGAGGGTGGAGGAGCAGAGCAGAGGCAGACCAGGGGAGGGATGGAGGGCCAGGCTCATGAAAGGGAAGAGAATCTGGATCATGACCTGGACTCTGGAGTGGTGGAGGGCCACGCTCTGCATCCGCTGGAGCTTGGTAGCTATAGCTCCCCCCAAAAAAATCTCCTGGGAAAACTGGGCAGTCATGATGTGAAGGGGCTCAGGTGAGCCTGCCGTGACGGGTGGAGGCTCTGGCGTGGCGGCCGTGACGTTAACAGGTTCTGGCGTGGCAGGCATGACTTGAACAGGCTCCCACAGTAAAAACCCACAGTAAATGATGAGCAGGTCGGGATTAAAGCATAGTATATATTGAGCCAAAGTCCCTGGGAAATTGCTCTCAGGCATAAGGTAACTTAGAAAGTCATCTAGTCCATAGCGAAAAATGTCCTTTATGGCAACCTCATTAAAGTCCACCACATGGCAAAGTTCACAAAACTCTTCAACATAATCCTATAGGACGGTCACCTTGATGGAGGCAACCTAGGGACTGCTGGGTTCATTTTGGGGGTCTTCTGTCATGATTCCACTGGAGGTGAGCTTGATGAACCCAAGTTCAGTATTTATTTAACATAAATGTGTACAAAATAAACAAAGACTTGACTAAGCACGACTTGACTTGACATAAACTTACACTCACATAACAGTGGTTACACGAACAATACTAGAAACAATGGCAAAATGAGGGCTCTTTACACACAGGACTTTTTTGAGAAATATACTAAATAAAAGACAAACTATGAAAGTGAGCCAAAACCCAAACCAACATGACAGTTATCAGGCAATATATATATATATATATATATATATATTATTATTTATTGGTATCAGTTAATATTGGATATGCTCATTTCAAATACTTACACATTTAAATAACATTAAAAAACTCTAATGGTTTAATAACACATTCAAATGTAATTAATTTTTTATCTATTTTTTATAGTGGACGTTATAATGTTGTGATGCCTAAATTGGCTGGTAGTATTTAAAATTATTATTATTTTTTGTTATACTGTTATAATATTATAAAAATGTTATACTATCTAAAAAAACATATTTATTTTATTTCTGGTAAAAAAAAAGTATTATACTTATTATATTTATGTATATAATTTTAATTTATGTCTGAATTGTTTGTCTCTATTAAATGTAGCCAGATCTGAGCTAGATACATATTTAGATTTTATTTTATTTTATTTTATTTATTGATTTATTATGGGACTGTAAAAAATAAAATAAACAACATGGTTCCAAGCTGAAAAATATACATTACATAAAGAGGATAGCATATGCTAATTTGCATCTCAGGTGCCTAAAAAGGCTTTTCTAAGAAAAAATAAAGAAAAAAATACCAGCCCTGCTTATAGGTTAAAACGTGTTACTAGATGTATAGCCTACAAACATACAACCTAAATATCTCTAAAAAAAAACATATTTTAAGGATACTTCCAACCCTGGAAACATAGATTATTTAAACAATAATTAAGTACATTTAAATAATGTTTTAATATAATATTTTTATGACAAGTACTACAAACTATCTTAAAATGATTCAGAAGAATCACATTAAATATTTTTAAAATGAGAACTTTTTAAAATGAGAGTATTGTGCCTATTGCATAGTCAAACAAAATGTGAATAGCCTACACTAGTCTAGAAATTTTTTTTTATTGTTTCACACACATTATATGACATATTTGATGTCTCAATTTTTGTGTAGGCAAATAGCACAGAAACAGCCAAAAATAACATGTCATCCCATTTTGTTGGCACAGCATCTGTGGTGGTCTGACAGGTTGTTTTTATTGCGATTCAGGCCTTTCTCTTAAATTTGAATGACTCATCAGCCCTGCAACAAGAGGAGAGGCCAATGTGGACCAGACTACAGCTCTAGGCCATCTCAGTGTGAAGACCACCCACAGTACACTCCAATCCCCTGGCGCAATTACACAAAGGTCACTAGTCAATTGCTGAAGACTGAGAGCTTTATAATTTTATGTTGTTTTTCTAATAAATGTAAATGCGTAGAAGAGCACAGAAAAGCCTGCCGACGAGATTCAAATAAAGGGCCCCTATTATAGTATTTTAAAGGTTCCTAATCTAGTTTTGGAGGTTTCCTACAACAGGTTTACATGCATTAAAAGTAAAAAAAACACTTTAATTTTCTCATAATGTACATTGCACATCACCACATTGTGCATTATGCAAATGTATCTTCTAGTGACGTAGAACCGTAAAGTAGGATTCGAATAAAAACCACTCGTAAAGGTGGTTCAGAGTCGATTCTTTCTTTTGGGAGACAATAACTTTATTTAGTTAAAGGGACACTTTAATGCAACCAGAAATAAAGAGAAATAGGCCTAAAATAAAACATGTTCATACTTAATGATAAAACCAACTGATAATTCACTGGGATATGCTATGCTATTGAACACAAATTTATTTTGAAAGTTAAAAGGAATAGAAATCAATACATATTAGAATTATTTTATTAATTTCAAAGAAAGGATAGCAGGAGTTTACAATTTATAGCTCCTTTTTATGTTTATTTTTTATTATACAGAATTCAAGTACAAACAATTATGGCATAATTCAAAAATCATACATATGTTTTCGTGTTGATACAACACAAATAACAAAACAGAACCAAAAAAAAGAAAAGAAAAGAAAATAGGAGGGGGAGATGGTCTTAGTCTAATAGCCTAGCAAAAACAAGTCCAAAGCGGAAAGAAGTTTTAGGGCATTTCTGCCATGCATCCAAGTTTTACAAATAGCTTAAAATCATTCTTCCATCCGTAGAGCTCCTGAAATAATCAATACCACAATGAAAATAGGCTATTGTAGGCTATATCAATAAATCTTTTAATGCTGACCAATTATGTTTTATCATTCTATAGTTTAAACGCCAATAGTAACGAATAACTCGTCTTTCATGAGAAGAAACACATCAGCACCAAAATTGTGCTAATTTAGCGTGTAAACAGCAGACATGTCCTTGTTTTCATGAGGGTCTCTCCTCCTCCCCCTGCCGCCCGCCGAGTCTCGGCTACTCTCGGCTGTGTCCGCCAGAGGGCGCTCGGGCTCCGGTGTCAACACGCGCCATTCGATTGTGGAAAATGCCACCAGATGGCGGTTTAGGATTGCTGCTCTTCTGAAAGGCGCGGTTCCTTCTCCTGGTCCAATTTTCAATTAAAAAATCCATATTTAGCAAAACTTTTATCGAATTCCGAATAGCGGGAACGCCGACCTTTACGACCATGAGCACCCCAGGTGAGTTGTATGCGTTTTTGTGCCGTTAGTGGCGTGTGAAGTGTAGCGGGTCTGGAGATTAAAGATGGAGGACAGCGAGGCTGGTGGGGGATGGGCGGCTTCTCCTCTGCTCTCACACTGACTGCATCTCCTCAGGCCAGATCCACACACCCGCAGCCGAGCTCTGGCTGCTCGTCTGCGGCTCTGTGAGCACACACGGCTCGGTCATGAAGACACGGGCTTATTTTCTTAAGTGTAATTGAGCTCATATGTGTCTGCAGAGCTGTCTCGGGTTTGTCGCCGACAGAGAGCTGCACTCATTATATAATGATCCGTTTATGGCACTGATTTCTGCGGGTTTGAGTAGATGCTGGTTTGTTTCTCAAGTTTTTTTTTCTTAGGATATAATGAAGGTCCCGTTATTTGATCTGTCAAAGCCAAGACATTACAGACTTGTCAACAGCACGCTTAAAATGTAATCTGGTGTGCTTGAGTCATGATAATAAGATTAATCCCAGTGTAAGAGATGGTGTGAGGAGAGAAGGACAGGTGTAATACTGTTGCTATAATAGTGGAATATAACGTGAGAGACTCAGACTTTAGTGGGTAAATGTGTGTGTGTATGTGTGAGGGGGGAGGGGTTGAGTTTTCACCTTTGTTTTTTTTCGTCTGTACTTTCTCAGACTGAAGGAAGATTACACTAGGAGTGAAACTTCACAGTCAGCTCACACATCACCTGTGTTATTACAGTTATTTCTCTGTTTGACTCAGGCAGGTTTTCAGCATGTCAACTTGGCTAGTGAGGAAACTTATTTCTAAATGATTTTAAAGGCCCTTTGGTAAATGTGTTGTGGCTGAAATGTAATATTTGGGAGCAGTTGTCCTCAGTAAAGTTCAGCTTCATCTCAGAAACACTCCCAAATCTCCTGTTCAACATGTTCGTGTCCTCTGGTTTATGTTATACATGCATAGCAATTCCAATATTTATTTTTATTGTTTATTGGCTTTCCTGTGAGAAACTTTTTGTAGTGTAATGCAGTGTTTTAGTGCTAACTAAAACTATTAAAATAGTTCCATTACTTCAAATAAATCCAAAATAATACATACATTTTAAATGAAAATATTACAATAAAAACATAAATTAGATATCAATTAGAAATAGTGCCTTGTGAACTAAGTTGCAGTATTAAAGTTACTAAAACTGAAATAAAATAAAATTGAACTAAATATAAGCTAAATAAGAAAAGATGTCAACTTCTAAAACTAAAATAAAATGTTGAAAGCTAATTAAAATAATAATAAATACTATAATAGTGTATATATAAAACTAAAATAAGACTGGGTTGATGATGGAAAAAATATGGAAATTAAAAATCCACTGAAAATTCACAGATTTAAATATGAACAGAAAAGTCACTGAATAAAAAAAAATCATAAAACATGTCTTGGAAAATATTTTTTTCTACTTTTGTTTCTTATGTTTAGCTTTAAAATATGATACTTTTTCCACATTTCATATGATATATATATATATTGAAAGGCTGAAATATTGTTGGTCAAAAGGTGTGGGAACCCTGAGTGTTATTCTGAAAGTACAAAGGATTGAAATGTAAGCCTATATTTAGCTTGAAAACCTCATTGTCTGGTAATTGTTGTACTGTGATCATCAAAACAACAACTTCACGTTCTTACATTTTCAAGCCAGACAGCCCTGGAATTTACTGATCATTCTTATAAAGTCCTACAGTTTTTTTTTTTTTACATTGCATTATGATTTTTTTAATGATTTCATGCAGTATTCACTGGACTGCAATGTTAAGACCTTATGCTGTGGCCTCTTTTCAGTCTTAAAGGTCCATATTGTAATATTGCTGTAATTTTGAAGTGCACGTGTCCCGCATAGAGTTGCACTTCGGGACACGCAGCGGTCAGGAAAACCACTCGCTGACTTTTTCTGTGATGTGCAAATAATGTAACCCTTTTTTTACGCCCTGAGTTACCCAAAGGAAATCAGCACGAGCACGTAGCACATCCTGTGGTTGAAAGTGTGGGCATTAAAAAACCATCTGGAGAAAACTGACTCCAGTTCAGTTTGTGAAATGTGTAGCCTACCTGACTGACAAGAGACTTTTAAAACAAGCCAACCATGTACTTGCTTTCCTACTTTTCCTAATGGACTGAAAGTATAAAATCCTGCTATGCAAAGCTGAAAGGTGTTGAGTTACGTTCAGTCAGTGATCTCAGGGTGCATCAATAATGAGACCAAGATCTGTGATGTAGTTTAGAAGCGTTTAACCGTGGCTCACCAAGTCCTTGCAGCCAAAACCTGTTCTGTGTCCAAATCTAATCCTCACAACACAATCGTTATGACATCTTCCTTTTTAAGAGTACGTTAGAAGGCATGTGTGTACTTGTATGTCTTTCTTTGTAATTGTGCTTGTTCAGAATGATCCGTTTGACGTCAACAGGGTTTACTTTAGTGTCATGCCAGACATGTAGAAAAAAATATTTTCATTTGGGGAAAGGCCAACACTGTCTGCATGTTATCTATTCTATATAAACCAGATGAATCTGACATTAGTGCATGTATATACAGTAAATCATTTATAAATCATGCTTACTGTATGATATAAGTGGATATTTTGTGTTGGTTACTATTTCTGATCTTTAGCTCAATACATAATATACTAGTCTTGATACAAAATTAATAATGACGTACCCTCTACTTTTGGAGGGTTCAAATCTGACTCGGCTTCTTTGCATCAGTACATGCCATTTTACCAGATCCCTGATAATACTGCCTTATCTTTGCTGAAGGATTGCTGTATGTCTGGGCTTTTATTCATGCAAAATGATAAACACAAAATTAGCTTTACCCAAGTTTATTTTGAATGGCTTTTGAGTTCATTCACTTGGCACGGTGCAGCAGATTGTTTGCTACAGTTAATCAAGTGTCTTTGTCAGGCCTGAGGCCAAAGACTGTCTAATGAAAAGGGTGAATGAGTTGGAAGGTTCAGTCTGTTGATGCAAAAATCATATTAACATGTGAAAGAGGCCGTTTTACCATGAAGTGCTATCTACTTTGATTTACTTGTATACCCCTTTCACACAGAGAGTGGATCCCAGAAAATTGCCATATAATTGCTAGAGTGCCTTCCGTGTGAATGCAAACACATCTCGGGATGGGGACCTAGTAACATTGCCGGGATCAGTCCCGGATCGCGCCCTGTTTGAACAAAAGGCAGGACCAATGCCGGAAGGGGTGTGTTGTAGTGATGACACTGAACCAGAGATAGTTTGTCAGCTTAGTGGAACGGTACACAATGTGCGAGTTTATGATCGAATCAGGAAAAAAAAATGCACGAGCATGGTTTCTTGAGAGAGAAATCACAGATCATAAGCAAACTTAGACACTGTAGAGACATTACTGGTCTGTACGCACCAGACTGACTGTAAAAAAAAGATGGACGACAATCTCTCCCATTGGTGAAAAGTGAAGCCACTTAAGTCCTAATATGGCACTGACATCTTGCGCAGATTTGGGACCTGATTCTGCGCAGTTGTGAACGTGGGACCCGAGTCTGCGCAGTAGTGAGGGTGAACGGCCTCACTCCCGCAGAAATGGGTACTACAAAGTTTACTGTGTGAAATAAACAGTTATGAACATGTAGAAATTAAAGATGAAGCTCCAATCTCCTCCCAAAAATCCAAAAAGAAGTCCGTTGGTGCCTCAGTAGTCTCGCGTAGCCAGACCTTCAGACTGACAGCTGAAGGTCTGGAATTCATAGCAGCTTTCTTTGGCCAAGGCCCGCCCATAAGGCCGTTTGACCGACATGTAAAACAACCAATTACAGTTCGTTTCGTTCAGCGTCACGTTTCGGGACGTGGAAATGTCCCCACAACAACAGACCGGCGTGCAACAAGTCAGTCAGCATAGAAAATCAAAGAAGGAGAAGAAAACTTCAAGAGTCTATGCCGTGAACCTCGCATACTTTTGAGAATCCTACGTTTAGCTGATCTTGATAAATGCTCATTGTCACTCATGTAAACACAACCGTTTTTCTTCCGCAATCACATGTCTGCACTTTGTTTCCCGGCGGACCGAAAATAAACGCGACACTCGCGCCCCCCGGAAATCCGATAAAATTCAACCAATCGGATGACGACTTCGACATTCCTGAAGTGTTTCCAGTTAAGTGTACCATATGCATCAGACGTTTAGCCAATGTTCGGTGGGCGTGACGTCTGAGGCTGAGACTAGTGCCTCAGTGACTACTTCGTTTAGAGAAGCTGTCGATCATGACGTCACATTCCTGTTTTTATAGTCGAACACTTAAAACTTACTCCAGCATGATAAAAACTACCTAAAATGACAGAAAACACTTTGAAAAAAATTATTTGAAGTGTAATTTGATTGTTTAGTTTCCATCGTGTCCCATTAGACTACATGAAGAGGGCGGGGTTTATGACCTATACTGGGACCAACCACGCTTGGGAACGCACGCACTGATTCTGGCAGTGTGAATGAACCGAAATCCAAATGAACACATTATCAGTGTTTTTTCCGGAATCTCTGTGTGAAAGGGGCTTTAGGTTTTTCATCAGTTTTTGTCAGCTTGGGGCAAATTCAATCGTAGTTGGTAGATTAGGCTACAAAACAAGGTGTTTAAACTGACATAGCGAAACTCAAATTAAGTCAAATTTCTTCTGCTCTAATAATTCTGACATTAGTTTCCATCATTGCACTTTATCAATCTCGAATTTTAACATCGGCTCATGTGGTTGGACTGTCAAAAGATTTATAAATAATTAATATTTTAATACAAAAATGTATTTATTTCCCAAGTTAACAAATAAATATGCAACATAATGAGGTCATGTGACAATATAGCATGTTACTGTTTGAAATGTATATATTTTTTTCTGAACTTTTAGAAAATAAACTCAACACTTCTTACACTCTTTTTATTTTGTCTAATAACATTGTCCAGCAGTGAACACACATGATGCATCACAGGAGA